GCCCATCATCTTATCAATAACTCATGTTGTTATCATCATTAACGTCTCTACACTACTCATGATACAATCATTCTTGTTTCTATCACTAACCCATCATTGCAAATATTGGCACTATTATTTACACTCCACCAAAATGCTCGCATTTTTTTTTAATAATACGAGTCTAATTCAAGTAAGAGCTCAATATGTAGGCTCCATCCTTTTTATTATTTTCGTATACTAACTTAGGTAATATGATAAAGTAGTGGATCGAAATATAATCAAGTTCGAAGAATTTTTTAAATTTCTTTCATATATAAGATAAATTTATATTATACTACTTTAAATCATCTAAATATAATTTAAAATAAATATTCAGGGAATAATATTTTTCCTACGAGATGAAGATAATTTCATCACCAGCTCTCATGTGAAAATGAATGGGATCATGTCAAGAGAAAAATAAAATAAAAAATAAATCTCTTCCCTTTAATATTAATTCTTACTGAAAAAATATTATTTTCCAAATATCTAAGGGAAAAGCGTGTGTCACTTTAAAGGATGTAAAATTGTGTTATTTTAAGTGAAAGAAAGAGATAAATTATAGAAGAGAGAAAATGGATAAAAAAAAAATAAAGATGTAGATCTCACTTCTTTATAAGAACAAAATGACACAAATTATGTCATTTAAGAGGATAAACATTTTTTTCAATGAGTTCGTTTTTTCTGCAGTTAATGCAGATAAGTTATCTGTATTGAACCCAAAACGACGTCGTTTTGGGGCGGAAATCAAAGTATTTTTGTAATTTTAATTTATTTCAGGATTATAATAGTCTTTATAATTATAATTTTTTAATATTTCAATACCAAAACGACGTCGTTTTGGAAATTATGCAAATAACTTATCTAAAATAATTGCAGAAATATTTTTCTGTTTTTCAATATGTAAAAATACTAATAATGTTTAGATAAAATAAAAGGGAGAAGTTATAGTTATTACCTCTTTTTCTTACTACTTCTTACTACCAAATCTTAACCGTTGATTTTTGTTAATCTAACGATTATAATTTATTAAAAATTAATAATAAATTAATAAGTATGACCTAATAAATTATAACCGTTAGATTTACGGAAATCAACGGTTAAAATTTAGTAGTAAGAGATAGTAAGAAAAAGAAGTAGTAACTATAATCTCCCTTAAAGTAAAAATACATAATAATGATGGATTCGCTTTTTCTACAGTTACTGCAGATAAGTTATCTGCAGTAAGTCCAATACGACGTCGTTTTGGTGCGGAAATCATGGTATTTTTATAATTTTAATTTATTTTAGGATTAAAATAATCGTTGTTATAATTTTTTAAAATTTTAATATCAAAACGATGTTATTTAGAAAATAAATACAGATCACTTATCTACATTAATTACAGAAACATTTTTGTAAGAATAATAAAAGAAGTGGGATAAGAAGAATGCTTTCTATGTCGGCATAACAAGAAGCGAAGAATGAAAGAAAAAACTTTAATGCACCCGCATCACCAAATTCAATACTCTCTCTTATTAAAATATTATATTAAATTCCATTTTATCAATATTTTTTATATTTTATTTTAAATCCTAAAATATTTCTATTTTAATAAAAAAAAACACCGAATTCAATAGTCTCTCTATGTATTGAAGTTTTCTTCAGAATGAAGATATATCTCAATACCAAGTTGCCAAGTACTCTGTCTGCACTTCTTTCGAGCACAAAAATATTTCTATTTCTATTTTTCAATTTGAAGTAAAAAGCAACCTAAATATAGCTATCTTATTCATTGCACACGCGTTTTCTGAGGGAAGCAGGTACACAGAGATTGACCAGTCGCTGTCTTTTGAAGGAGTGGCACCGTTTTATGCATGTGTTCAAAGTGGAAATTAATAAAGTATGGTCAAAGAATCTTCAAGATGTGAACGGGCCAACTTGGAGCAAAGGATAAGGAAGAGAATTGAGCTAGCTATTATTAGAACTAATCATATTTGCTTCCTACTTATCTTATTGGTTAGTCACACGGTTTCGGTTTCACAACACCTACTTAACATTAACATTAACATTGATTGATATATATATATATGAGAAGGTTATATTTATACACTTTTTATTTATAAATTCTTATAAATTATATTATATTTTTCTGAGAGAATATTAGTTTACACTATATTTTTTCAGAAAAACACAGTGTAATTTATAAAAATTTATAAACAAAATTTATAAATGAATCTTTTCCAATATATATATATATATATATATATATATATATTATATGTAGTATTACGGATTAATTGGTCTTTTATGTAGTAGTACGGATTAATTGGAGTATCACTAGGAATCTAGGATATCCTCAGCAAGTTTATTGCCATGAGTAGCTGACACACTTAGTGAAATTAATTTTATATGATACTTTTTCTTTAAGCATTATTTTAATTGTGAATTTTCTTTTAGGCTTAACAAGATCTAGTGTCGAAAATAATTCAATTATTTATGTGAGAGTATGTTTTCCATTCTTTTCAATGTTATTTTCGAAAGAGGTTTACAACTTTAATCCTAAACTTGTCCCGAGCTGTAATGCCTCCTATGAAAGATACTTGTAATTTATAAAATTAATTATATTCAATTATGTAAAGAATCAATTTATCCTAAAATTTTAGGATTAAATATTTATTAGAAACATAGAAGCAGTGTGAATCGAATTTATAATTACATAATCACAGGCCCTGATACTATGTAATACAACCAATTCAATTCAACTACTTGAATTTATGATCACAAGCTCAAATATTATATAACGCAACCAATTCACCTCAACAAAAACAAAATCATTAATGGTGAGTTTACGGACTTGATAATTTGCGTGAGGTTATAAGCAAATCCCTTCGAGACTACAAAGTACAAACATAAAAGCCAATCTCACGATAATCAGCGAGTTTTAGTTTTCCCGAAATTTCACGGTTGAATTGAAAGTAAACACCACATATTTTATATTTATAAAATTTCATACCAATTGTTCTTTATCAGACATGTTTAAAATTGTTGTGTTAATTATGCATAATTTAATGGTTGGTTTGCTTAAAATATTCTTTATATATGGAGGAATCAAAAAATTTAAACCGTTTGATTTTAACTAATAATTATATACTTATTTTTATTTAATTAAATGATTTAAATCATTTTAAACCATTATAATAAAAATAAGTATATAATTAAATAGATGATATTTTAAATTTCTATGTATCATGCATTAATTTTAGGGTACTTCAATAAGTACTAAAAGATATAATCATAAATTTTGTAATACATTTATTTTAAAAATTAGTTCATTAATTTATTATTAATTTTATTTTTATAGCTTTCAATAAATCTTAACCAACATAAATAGATAAGCAAAATAGAAACGAGTTGCCTGTCTACCAACTCATAACACTAATACTTTGTAATAAATATCATACATAATTTATTTTCAGCGTTGGTTCAAGTGGTAATATGAATTGCAAGAACGAATAAACTAACAAAAGAGTAGGGGTTTGAAACTTCAAGAGGATCTTTGGGTCCGAACTGAATAATTAAATAGTATCATCTCTATGCAGGCATCTTTTCCCGAATCATAGCATCAAGTGACCTAACTTGTCGTGAAGAAATAATTAGGATGATAAAATTCAAAAAGATATTAAACAAGTGTTTTTATGTAAGATTATGGTGATTAGATAAATAATAAGTTGGTAGTGAAAAATTTTAGTAGCGAAAATATCCCTTCTCATAAAACAAGGGGTAAAAGTTTTCCATGCAAACTTATCCATTCGTGAGACGTACCAGCTTTTAAAATAAAATAAAAAATTAGCATAGTTTTTTTTTGATTTTGCAGGAGGAATATTTTCCTCTTATAGCAAGAGAAAAACATATTTCATAAAACAAAGGGTTTTATAAGAGTTATGTTGTAAGAAAAGTGATTGTGTAATGTTATAGAGATTCGTTTTGCGTGTCGTAATTTTTTTTTCCTTTTTTCTTCAAAAAGTATGGACCCCACAAAATATTGTGTGTGTAGAAAAATTTGTTGTGTCATGTTAAATGACAAATGTAAACTCCTAAAATAAATCAACTATAATTTACACCAAAACAGAAAATTTCCCTAGCAAAGCACATTGATCATTGATGTTATTTCAAAGGTTCAAGTCAGGAGATGTTACTTGTGAAAAGAGTCTTGACCATATCACTCACTTAAGGAAAATTTCACACTTAAAAATATAAACATACCTGAGAAACTTTAAAAAATAATAATAATAAAGATGTCTGACTTTTATTGAAAAAGTAACAGGTGGCTATTCATCAAGCACAGCTCATATATCTATAAATGGGAGAAAGAATCTTATCATAGAGAGGTTGGTTTTTCCAAGAACTGGGATTGAGGTCCTATCCATACTCATCCACAACCCTCTTATCTCTCTTCTATAGCCAAATGCATTTGTGTTGCCAAGAAATTGAACGTGTCATCACTCTTGAACGGTTGTGTTAAGTCACTCTCCTCTTACGCGGTTTGTTATGGGCCTAGTGCTACAATACCCATTGTTTTAATATTCCATTTAGGTTCAAAGGATGGTCCCTATAATATGAGCCCACAAGATTGTTCTGATCAATACCATGTGCTGTCTCACCTTTGTTCTCAGTAATTTTATTTTCATGGGTAGGTGTTGGAGAACTCGATGGGAGAAAGAATTTTTGTTGATCATTTTTTTCTCAAAAAAAATACCCCAATATGCAAAAATCAAGCTCTTTGTATTAATGCCTACATGTGACATAAGATCACATGAGATAATTTCATCAATGGTTATGAGGAGTTTAATATCATCCTGTGTGATGTCATGTTAGATTAAAAGATCTATTCTCAATTTTTTATCATTGAAAATAAAATAAGTCGTCATTGTTAACAAATATAGATGTCATTTACTGAAAAAAAAAATACTTACATGAGTAGTGAAAGAAAAGGGGAATAAATACTATACTATTTATGATTCATTCAGATATTGCTAGATAACTCAAAAGTAGCAAAAAAAAAAAAAAAAGTTAAAAACCATTTATGGTATACATTGTAACCCCCCATTTGTATTGACAAGTGCCCACCCTATAATCTTTTCTTGCATTAAGAGGCAGCAATTCTCTCGAAGTGTCCAAGCCTATTGTCAGCCAATCTTGTACCTAAGACTGAATTCTTGTACTCAAACCATGTAAACTCTTTGTATAAACTCTCTTTTCCTTCTTTCATGAGAGAAGGCAATGGTGCTATTTTTTCACTTAGAGGTGGACCACCAAAATAAATCATTGAGAGCCTTGATTGGAAACCATTAGCCAAAACCCTGTGTCTCACACTCCGGAATCTCCCATTAGTCATTACCTACGTCGATGCACCGACCAAACAAAGAAAAAAGAAAAACATAAAAAAGCATAAAAACCACGTTAGAGTCCTTTGTCGGTAATAATAGATAATCACATTAAAATCACAAGACAAACCACCCCATATTTCAATATAATATTATATCATACTGACATAACATGAAAGCAAAACTTTTTGCTACTTTTCTTTTTTAGATTTCCATGGGGTTTTGATTCCCAAAAAAAAAAAATGTACTAATTAACAAGTCAACTAAAATGTGAAGAAAATGGATTCCGGGTGTTTCGTACCATATATTTTTTAGGATTCTTGAAAAATTGAAATTTTTTAATTTTTAATTTTCAGATATTATCGTAAACAGAATGTTATCATCATATTTCGATTAAAAAAAAAAAAAAAAAAAAATCATCTACCAAACGCCTCCATGTCACATGATGATATGAGTGACCATAAATTTGAATACACATTTTAAAAAAAAAGCAATTAAACAGGAGGAGTTTATCTACACACAAAAAGTTCTTTTACTTCCTATCCATAGACGTAAAATTTTCTTATTTTAATGAAGTATGTAACAAGTAGCATGGTTTGTGTTATGTACCTGAAGAGAATCACCAACATTGATGAAGAAGGAGCTATGATCAGGTGGAACTGAAATCCAGCTACCATCTCTGAGAGAAATCTGGAGGCCAGAAGTGTTGTTGGACCTAAGCAGAGAAATGATTTGAGGGTCTGTGTGTTCTCCAAACCCAATCAAATTCTCACCATTCAAAGCTAGTTCAGGACAAGCAGGGTAGTGATTGACCCTGAAAACAGAGTCACTCTGTTCATCCATAAGAAGCTTGCTAAACACATGCTTTGGCTGAATCTTCAACCCTTCTGCCATCAATTCAAGAATCTCACATGCCATCTTCCTCACAGCATACATATAACCATTCAAAGCACACCTGAAAACATCAATAACAACATAGAAAGAAAAAAAATAATAAGCACTTTTGACCATTACTTTATATTATTTAAGTTCATTCAGATTGGTTGTGTCCAAATTTGGCACCTAAATTTCTCTGGGTTGTTGTTGTTGCCAGAAACAGACGAAAGTGTTGGAAAATTGTGTTCTTGATTGGCTGTGAGAAGAAGGTACTCAACCCAACCAATATCACCTCTGTGTCCAATGTTCTTGTTACCATACCCAAATGGATTGGCAGGACCAGCTTTTTCCTTCTCAATGAGTGGCAAAGAGAAAAAGTTTATGGCTTCAGACTCCAACTTGGATATAGCTTCCATGGGGACTCCATGGTTTATGACTTTGAAGAATCCAAACTCCTCACATGCTTTTACCATGAGGCTCTTTGCATCTGGTTTTGACAGGTCCACCAATGGAATTGATGAAGAAAATGTGGTGTTTGACATGCAGTTCCTTATATATGTGTATTCTGTTGTTGGTTTGGATAACAACACCATTTTTTTTTCTTGTTGCTTCTTCTTCTTCTTCTGTTTTGGGGTGTGTTTAACAACAGAAGTAAATGGAAGAAAGAAAGTGAGAGAGAAAGACACAAGTTTGAAAGAGTTTTTGGAAAGTTGATAAGGCTTTTGAGCAAGTGATGCTTGAGAAACAGGTTGGCTCCTTGGCTATTTATACCCAAAAAAGTTAACATGATTCAATGTATAATTTTCAACTGAGTGGATTTTCCAAGTATCAATATAATATGAAATTTAAGAGAGGATCTGATTTTTATTATAATTTTTAATATATAATAGAGTTTAATATCTCTAATATTATAGGATATAATTTTATCTCTTATACGTACATAAAATATGTGGAACTCATTTTTTTTTCTCTTTGCATGACCTCACATAAATTTCGTGTGAAAAATAATTTTATCTCTTACCATATCAAAAATATCGAAATCAATATTTTGAATTTACCATTCTTCCTTATAAATAGAATGGATGTCACAATCCTGCTGAAGTAGCAGTCCAGTCATCACCTACCTATAAGCATTATTTATTTAGATTTCCTTCCACTAAAATATACATGACTACTTTATCACATGGAAAGGAAGTAGTCACATCAATGAGATTCCGTTGATAAGGTGTGCATCATGTTTTTCATTTTTCTTTTTGAAAGTTAATTTTCTTTTGCTGTTCACATTGCAGCTTCGTGCTCATCCAAAACAGGTGAGAATGGCATCTATTTGTTGCAACTTAAAATAAAAAATAAAATAGTAATGGCAAAATAGAGTATGAGGATCCACTGGCATGCATGCATCTATTCTTGTTAGAAGAAGTTCAGTGTATGATTTTGCACCATGAAGTTGAGTCTATAACATGCATGAAAACATTCTATTTGTAGTAGTAAAAAGCAAGTACATTGCTAGTATCTTTAAATGCTATATTATCATTTAGCTATATTCTCCTAGAACAAAAGAAACAAGATTCCTCCTTATCCAAATCCCCACTTAGTGTTTCCAAATACAATAATCTAGATTTGTTCATTTTGTTCTGTATTTTGCTTCATTTGGAACTTTTACACCCACCCCAACTGCTTCTCATTCTTTTATGCAAGTGTTTCCTAAAATATTGTGATGTCACGGTCTGGATTGGATCGATTTTGGAAGTAAAAATCATTCGATCAAATCCTTCGATTTGATCATGTAATCATCCATTTAGTTTGGATTTTTTTCGAATCTGATTTAATTCAATCCAATAATTTTTGATTTGGATTGGATCGATTTTTTGTTATTTGAAAATTTTAAAATTTGTTTCATAATTATTGTGCAAATAATATCTTTTATAAGCTTTGTAATTTTTTTTTTTGAAATACAAAAGTATCAGTAAACGATAATATAGTATTTTTTTTTGGCAATAAGATATGAAGCTCTACACAGATGAAATTTTGTTGATGAGATGTGACTGGATTTTTTATTGGGTTTAGTTGATGGGTTAATGGTCTTGGATTTAAAAGTATTTGGGCTATGGTTGGGGAAAGACCCAAGTAGATAGAGGAAAATTAATATATTGGATCGGTTTGGATTAGATCAGTTTTCATCAACCAATCTGAAAATCGATCCAATCCAATTAAAATTTGCGAATTTTTTTCGGTTTTCAATTTTTGGTTTTCGATTTTTGGTTTTTCGGTTCGGTTACGGCGATTTGAATCGGTTTGGCTCGATTGATGAACAACCTAATAATACATTTTTCTAAATTTTCTCTTTTCTATACTTTTTTCATCCCCTCGTAGAAGAAAGAATTATTGACAAGAAAAAAAAAATCTCTTCAATTTTTGGGATTTGAACATGCAAAAAATATATCTATTTATAAGAATAGTTTTAGTACCGTGAAGATTAATCCCAAATTCAAAAAAAAAAAAAAATGTAAAAATATCTTGACTAATTATGCTTAATAAAAACTATTTGCATTTTGTTATCCTACTTTTCTTTCCATTTTTCAAAGCTACTAGTTTGTACTTACATGCAATTTTTGGGACACTCTTTACAATACTAATCACCTTCCTATGTAACTTGTTTCTTCTAACAAAAATGATTATTTTAAGTATGTGACTGAATTAAGTTGGTTTGCTCTCCATAATTATAATATTGAAAAATATTTTTTTTGAAAAACTTTTTAAGTTTAAAATATCAAAATCAAACATGTGCTTAAGATATACCCTTTGAAATACAGTCCAATTATGTAGAGATTGAATGCACCGCCAATTTATTACAAAACAAAATATGCCTATATCTATATATGTGGATTTGGCTTTTAAAGGGAAAAAAATAAAAGTTTCAATCTTTGATGAGAAAAGAAAAATAGTGTTTTAATACATTTATAATTTATCATGCATGTATCTACTCACATATGTATAACATATTAGTGAGTTGTTACAATTTCTAGCACATGATTTTTTCCAATTAATATTTATTTTAACTTCTGTCCCCTGTCCCGTTTTAATTTTTTTGTTTTTCGTTAAAGCTTATTTCCAATTTTATGAAATTTCTGTGTCGTTCCAATTATTTATCACGTCACATGTCTCAGAAGTTGCTTTCTTGATGAAACGTGGAGAAATAAATCACTCTCTTAAAATGTGAAGAAGTTCAAATTTGCAAAGAATATCAACATCAAATATTTTGATTCTTTGGAGAAAAGAAAAAAAGGCAGAAACATTCATTTGAGTCACACAAATCTTAGCATACAGTTCTTGAACCTATGGACATTGAATTCATACATTTTAGAGTTACGCATCTCGAATTATATCTGATACCTTTGTTTCCTGAACACATGTGCAGCGGAATTTATAAAAGCATCATCATCAATAATATCTTGAAGCCACCACTTGCCTTTGTTTTTTTTTTTTTTTTTTCAGTAAATTATTCCAATTTAATATTGGTTCGGATGAGAATGGAGTTTACTCCTTGTGTCAGTAGTCGGTTCACCCGTTTCATGTAGGTATTTAACCGGCAACCATTTTTTAATTGAACCCATTTTTGAATATTTTGTTGAAATCACATCGTTATATCACCAAGCATGTGGATCAAATGGTAGGGTATAGTTCTAGCTTAATCAGTGGAAATTAATAATATACTATGGGAAAATTATTTGTATTTTAAAAAGATATAAGTTGTGTCCTTTTAGTTTTTTTACTCTATATACTCTTGGTAGTAGGGGTGTTAACGGGCCGAGCTTTGATCTTAACAGGCCAAGCCTGTATTTAAACATGTCAGACTGGCCTTAACCTGTTACCTGTTACGAATATAATATTAGCCTGTGGCCTGGTTCGTATACAAAAAATAAAAGCCTGTCTCAAGCCTGTGGCCTATTTATTTATTAAAAATAAAAACCTTACCTTCCAATTTGTAGCAGTATTTATCCCATTAATCATGCACTGATATATATTTTTTTGTAAGAAAATAATAGTTGTTTCTTTTATAATAAAAAAATATTAATATTAAAAAATCAAAATAACAACAGCACCTTTACTTTATTTTACGTTGTTTTTCCTTAATTTTCTTTCACATTCTAGATTTGTTACATTAAATTTTCTTCCACATTCCTTAATATTCTAGATTTTTACACTAGATTTGAACCCCACCAATAAATTTTCTTCCACATTTTACATTAAATTTTCTTCCTCGGTCGCCACCATAAGCATCATTATAAATCGTGGAATCTGCATGGCTTATAAAAATAGATGATGAACATGACTTCATTTACCTGTTGGTGGGACGATGACTTAGATCGGGGAGAAGAGATAGAGCAGAGACAGCAAACTGAGAAAAGGATGTTGAAATGATTAATATAAAATATAAAAAATAAATAAATTTAATGTATACGGGCCAACCTCTAAGGCTTCAAGGTCGGGCTTGGCTATGGAAGTCTGAGGCCTTTTAAATAAAAAGGCTTTTGCATGAGTATAAGTCTGGGCTTAATAATAAAAAAAGACGAGCCGAAACGGGCCGGGCCTAAGGCCCCTGATAGGCCCATGACCTTATTATCACCCCTACTTGGTAGTACATAGCTATAACATGAAAAGTTTTTTTCTCTCTCTCTCTTCAATCACATCAGCTGATGTGAAAAGTGAAAAAAAAAAGTAACTTTTCATGTTATAACTATGTACTACGGGAAGTACATAGAGCAAAAAATTAAAAAGACACAACTTATATTCTTTAAAATGACACACACTAAACCCATATACCATTTACCTAATAATTTAAGCTTTTCGATTTAATTGACTATTTACATGGCATCAGAGTTAATTTGTATTTAAATGATCATGAGTTTAATGCTCTAATTTGATCCCTAAAAAGGCCCTTAATATAATTGTCTATGCACAGTGTCTACCCTTTATCTTGGCATGTAGGCGCGTGTTAGAGATATAATATATAAAACTATTTGTTATGGACTTAACTTATGAGCTCTGGCAATCAACAAAGAGAGATAATGTAATAATCTTGTCTCATAAAATATCAATCTTATCATATCATTAGTGGATCAAATATTGGGGCCCCAATATTCTCCAGAATCATACTCCTATCACGTAACTCATTTATAAATAAAGAGTTTAGCTAATCATGTACACACTTTGAATTTCGTACTTTCTTAACTGTCACTGTGCATACACCACATGTCTTTGACTATACTCCATTATTATTAGGAATGATCTTCTACCTCTTGTGGCATCTCTTCTAAAGACCTCACCAGAGTATAAATCCTAGATACAATTACTAACTACTGGTCAAATATCTCAATCCTCTCATACCGAACACTATTAATGTGGGATTTACCTAACCGTTCAAAAATTTTGGGTTGAATTTATTATTTTATAAAATAAAAACTATTCCAATATTGAACGTTTATATTAAGAAAGGGAAAGATATGAACTACACGTAAAAGAAAAGGACTGAAATGTGATTGAATAGGAAAAGAAAAACAAGTAGGAAGCACCCGCAGACGGAGTCCAAATACACGAAAGATCTTTCTTTGTTGGGGGGGGTCCTGAAATG